GATTACAGGCGTGTACCACCATGCCTTTCTGTTATTCTCTGCTCTAGTTCCTGACATGCAATGTTTATGTTCACTGAGCTTCTTGGGTTCCCGGAACTCTTCCCTACCCGGCACCCTCAGTGTCCTGAATTTCCCATTTGCAAGAGATCTACCCCCTTGCTTCTTCTATCTGTCCTTTATTCTGTTCTTCGTTTTTATTTGTTTGTTTATCTTTTTGAGACAGGGTCTCCCTATGCAGTTCAGGCTGGCCTTGAGCTCACTTTGTAGCCCAGATTGGTCTTGAACTCGCAGTGATCCTCCTGCCTCAGCCTCCCAAATGCTGGGATTACAGGCGTGGGCCACCACACCTGGCTTTCTGCTCTTTGTTTGTACTTCCCCTCACTCAAATGAGAGCTATCCTGTGGTGTGTAATCGTGCGTGTCTGATTTATTTCACTTAACATTGTATTTTCCAGCTGCATCCATTTCCCTACAAATGTCTCAGATTTATCCTCCTTTATAGCCAAGTACTACTCCATTGTATGTGAATATCACTTTTTTGGGTGGGGGGGGCAGTCTTTTTGAGGCAGGGTCTCGCTCCGCAGTTCAGGCTGGTTTTGAACTCACTTTGTAGCCCAGGCTGGCCTTGAGCTCGAAATGATCCTCCTGCCTCAGCCTCCTGAGTGCTGGGATTATAGGCGTACACCACCATGACCGGCTCTCACTTTTTTAATATCCATTCATCTGTTGATGGGCATATGGGCTGCTTCCGGGACTTAGTTATTATGAGCTGTGCTGTTGCAAACCTGCGGCGTGTGTGTGTGTGTGTGTGTGTGTGTGTGTGTGTGTGTGTTGTACTATGATATCTTTAGCTCTTTGGGGAAGATACCTAGAAAACGGGAACAGCTGGGTAAAAAAAAAAAAACTTTAAATAAACAAAAGTAACCATGATTAAATTTTTCTGTTGGAATTTCCAGATAGCCAAGTCATGAAGGGGAAAGATCTGCAAATAAACAGTCAGGTTCTTTTTAAATTTTATTTTATTATTTTTATTTATTTATTTATTTATTTATTTATTTATTTTTGGTTTTTCTCCGGTACCGGGAACTGAACTCACGACCTTGCGCTTGCCAGGCAGGCGCTTTGCCGCTGAGCTAAATCCCCAGCCCCCATTTTTTTTATTTATTCATTAATTTTTTTTGTGGTACCAGGAATCAAACTCATGACCTCGCGCTTGTTAGGCAGGCGCTTGCACCACTGAGCTATATCCCCGATCCTTTATATTTTTACTAATCGGGGTTGAGCCTAGGGTCTCACGATGAGCTGTATTACAGGGTGCTACTAGCTCACCCAGGCTGGCCTTGAACTTGATGTCCTCTTGTCTCACCCTCCTGAGTAGCTAGGATTACAGCACTGCGCCACTGCACCCAATGCAAATTCCTTATTCTGTTTTTCAGATACTAAATTCTAAAAGCTACTGAGAAGTCCTTACTAGGAGGTTTTTAAATTGGGGTCCTAAAAAATATCCTCAAGAGGGGCTGGGGATTTAGCTCAGCGGCACAGCGCCTGCCTGGCAAGTACAAGGTGGTGAGCTCGATTCCCGGTACCAGGAAAAAAAAACAAACCAAAAATATAAATAAATAATTAATTAATTAAAAATTAAAAATATCCTCAAGAATGGCTTCCCCAGGGACAAAATTTTTGTGGAGATTTTCTCTTTTTTTTTTTGGCTTTTTGAGACAGGGTCTCGATGTGCAGTTCAGGCTGGACTTGACCTCACTTTGTAGTCCAGGCTAGCCTCAAACTCGCAAAAATCCTCCTGCCTCAGCCTCCTGAGTGCTGGGATTACAGGCATGCACCACCACGCCCGGCAGCATGGTTTCCTGATCCCGACCTGGGCCTGGAATTTTACAAGTGAGAAAGGTTGATTCTCTGAACTTCCAGTGTGCATAAAAATTCCCCTAGGGAAAATCCACTTCTTGGGCCACATGCCCAAGGGGGACCAGGAATCCTCCCCCTCTGGAGGTGGTGCAGGTGACAGCTTGGCCCTTTCTCAGCCTGGCCCGTCCTCCTGCCAGAATGTTCCGGAAGCCCCAAGCCTGGGGAGCGACCCAGGAGGAAGGAGCCATGCAGGGTGCCCGGGGCTGAGGGGGTTCCCAGGACATGGGAATTTCGTGCCCAAACCAGGAAAGTCCCAGCCCAACCGCAACCAGGTGATCGCTGGCTGTGTCACTTGGAGGGACCAGGCAGTCCCGGGCGCCTCATAGCAGAGACCTTGGCTGGGCTTGGCGACCTACGTACGGCCTTCCCAGGTCAGGCAGCTGAGAAGAGCGAATCCCCCCAGGGGTCCCCGGGCACTGCCTGCAGTTGCGCCAGGGCCAAGAGGGCCTCTTGGCCACACCCAGAGAGCAGGGCGGGCCTAGCCTGCCCCCTCGCTACCTGTTGGCCCTCAGAAAGTTAGGGAGCCCTCTAAGCCTCAACTTCCACATGTGAAAAGTAATCAAGTCTATTTCTGTTTCTTTGTTTTTTTTTTTTTTTCAGGCAGGGTCTTGCTTTGTAGTGTATACAGGTTGGCCTCCAACTCACTATGTAGCCCTGGCTGGCCTTGAACACATGGTGATCTTCCTGCCTCAGCCTCCTGAATGCTGGGTTAGAGGCCTGCATGCACCACCACGCCCAGCTCCACTATTTCATTTCTAGTTCATTGATTGTTTTTTCACTTGACTTAATTCAGCCCTTTTCAGTTTATTTTATTTTGTCCCGGGAATCAAACTCAGGGCCTTGCACTTACAAGGTAGGCACTTATGTTATTTTATTTTTATAAGGTTTTTTAATTTTTAAAATTTTTGGCACTGAGAATCAAACTCAGGACCTTGCACTTGCCAGATAAGCTCTGTGCCTGGGAGCTATATCCCCAGCGCCCCCCACATTTTTTTTTTTTTTTTTTGGGTCTTTTTGAGACAGGGTCTTGCTGTGCAGTTCAGACCAGCCTGGAGCTCACTTTGTAGTGCAGACTGGTCTCAAACTCACAAGGATCCTCCTGCCTCAGCCTCCTGAACGCTGGGACTACAGGCATGTGCAGCTACACCTGGCTCCCCAGCCCTTTTTCCTAGTCTCTGATGTTATTATGTTATTCTTTTTCATCTTTCTTAGGTTAAAACGTTCACTACTAATCCATTTTTACATCGGTTTCTAATATTTTCAAGCGATACCTTTCCTCTGGACACTGCTTTCACCTTGTTCCAGGATTTTTACTATATAGCATTCCCGTCTCTTTGTGCAGCTCTCCTTGGATTACAGTTCTCATGCTGACATTTGCTTCAGCTGAAGAAGTCATGTGAGCCAGGTGCGGTGGCGCTCACCTGTAATCCCAGCACTAGGGAGGCTGAGGCAGGAGATGGCTCTGAGTTCCAGGCCAGCCTGTCCCCATAGTGAAACTCTGTCTCCAGAAGACAAAAACAGAGAAAGAGAAAAAAAGGGAGGGAGGGAGGGAGGAAGGGAGGGAGGGGAGAGGGAGGAGGGGGAGGGGAGGAAGGCAGAGGAGCACAGGAAACGCCCTCACCCCGCAGCCTCGAGCCCGGAGCTCCGCCCGCCAAGGCTCTGAGAAGCTAGAGCTGCTCTCTGCTCCAAGCGCGGTTTGCACAGTTTCGAGGGAGGCTAGAGACGTCGGCGCCGCGATGAGACTTGCTCCTCTGGGTAATGACAGGGAGGCGCGCACAGTGAAAGGGTGTTATGTTCTCCCGGGACGCTGCGAGATTAAAACTTCACCCTTAGGCCACGCGGGCGCCCCTCCTACCGCAGACGGGGCGGGGGCTGCCGCGCCGGCGCCCCGCGCTCTCCGCGCTCCGGTTCTGGTCTCCAGGGTCTGTTTCCTCCGCAGTCCCCAAAGCAGTCCACGCCAGCGCCCCGAACACGCGCAGTCTCAAAGGCAACGAAACTGGAAAGGAAAAAGCCGGGTGTGTGGAGCACACCTGTCGTCCCAGCTACTCAGGAAGCCGAGGCAGGAGGATCAGAGTTGGAAGCCAGTTTGGACAATTTAGCGAGGCGTTGTCTCAAAATAAAAATAAAAATAAAATAAAATAAAGTGGGCTGGGTGTAGCTAAGTGACAGAGCGCTTGCCTAACATACGTGACAAAAGTATGTGAAGCCCTGCGTTCCATCCCCAGTACAGAAAAAGAAAATGCCGCCGGGCATGGTGGCGCACGCCTGTAATCCCCGCACGCGGGAGGCTGAGGCAGGAGGATCACTGTGAATTGAAGGCCAGCCTGAACTACATAGTGAAATACCATCTCAAGATAAAGAAACTAGCTGCTGGCCCAAGCTGGCGGGGGCGCCCAGGGCCATCAGTCCCCACACAGCCCAGAGCTGGGCCGGTCCGTCGAATCTGGAGACTGAGGAGGACAGTGTCCTCATGGAGGTGACATCCCCCAGGTGGGGAACAGCTTGACCGCACCAGCCCCTGGCCAGGTAGGGTCAGCTCAGCAGAAGTGTCCCGCCGGTGATTAAGCAGGATGGTGGGAGACTGGGCCAGGGCCGACGAGGTTCCAGGAAGTGTGGTCCACCCCCATCCCGGAAAGCCGAGGCAGCAAAGGCCCTGGGGCAGCGGCGGCCTGGCCGGAGAGGTGGACCGGATGCTGGAAGGGCGAGGTCACCAGGGATCTGAGGGGTGAAGGTCCAGGGCTGCCGGGCATTCGGCCCTGGGGTCACCTCAGGCAGAGGCAGTCCTTGGAGAGGTGAGGACGGTGAGAACCACTGGAGCCCCTTTGGGGACGCCCTGCACCCGCCTGGCTGTGGCCGGGCTGAGCAGAGACCAAGGAGGCCTCCATCCTGCTGTCATCTGTGTCCTGAGAAGCGGGAGGAGGCCGTATGGGTCCTCAGGACTTTCCAGGTATTTACAACCCAATTTGTTTGAACAAAAGTCTAACAGACGCCCTGAGCGCCCTCCATCTGCCCGGCTGTGGAGGCTGATTCAGCCAGCAAATGTTCCGGCAGCGGACACCTTATTCCCCGGGCAACGGCTCCCTGCAGCGTCGGCCCTGCCGCCCAGGCCCAGAGCAGGTTTAATCAGGTTTAAAGCAGGTTTAAAAGGTTAAGGGCTGAGCCAGGAGTGGTGGCGCACACCTGTAATCCCAGCACTCGGGAGGCTGAGGCAGGAGGATCGTTGCAAGTTGGAGACGGGCCTGGGCTACAAAGTGAGCTCAAGGCCAGCCTGAACTGCATAGTGAGACCCTGTCTCAAAAAGACAATATATATACATATATATTTTTTTCTCTTATGTTATACAATCTCCCTCTGTGTGTATGTTACTTATTTTACGCACCTACGTTAGTATTCTTTGGTGTAATCGAAATACAGTCCGTTCGCAGTCGCGGCAGAGGGGTCTCCCCACATGACAAGGATTTAGGTCCTTCCGCCGCGTGGAGGGACAGCTCTCCGCAGGACTCCGCACCGCATGGGGTCTCAGGACCCGTGGCGGCCGTGGGCTCCGCACTAGATCGCAACCCTGGCCGGGCGGAGGGACGCACTCGCGGGCCTCACGCGACCCGCGCTGGGGCTCAGCAGAAACACAGCAAGACTGGGGTCCCCACCCGCCCTTCCCTGGAGAATTCGCTGACCCGCCTCCTCGGCCGCCTCGCGCTGGGCTCGCCGGCTTCCCTCGGGTTCCCTCGGGTTCCCTCGGGCTGCACACGCCCCGGCAGGCGTCTGCGCTCCCCTAAGCTCCTCTCCGCCGCACGCCAGCCTGACGCTCGCATCCTCGAATCCCAGCCCAACTTCATTTCCCAAAAGTTCGTCCCTGGCCCTTGAACACACACTCGCAGCTCCGCGGGACGGTCCACTTCACGTCCCTCTCAGGCCTCCCGCCTCTGCCGGGGCACAGCCCGAATTTTACACAAATCGGTATCATCCTTAACTGACATCCTTCGCAGCCAATAGGCTGTGAGCTCCATGGAAACAGAGACTCTATCAGTTACTGTTGCTAAGCAACAAACGACTCTAAAACGCAGCCGCTTCAAAAAACAAACGCAGTTTGCTAAGGAATCTGGATGTCACCGGCCCAAGGGACAACGTAGGTGTCAGCCGGGGCTGCAGCCCCATCTCAGGGCTCGACCCGGGACAGAGCGGGCTCCGAAGTCTTGGGTGCCTGGGGCCGTGGCTTTGGCCTGCCGGGCAGTTTGTCACCGGCTGCCGGCTGGAGATTTGCTCCGTGGGTCCCTGGGCGGGACAGCTCACGGTCAGGCGGTGGCTTCTCTCCGTCCAGGTCGCCAAACGGGGAGAACGGAAGGCAAGCCAGAGCGCAGGGGCAGCGCTTTTGGAAGCTCGCCTTTAAACCCTTCCCTTTGCTCTTGCCTGGCAGAAGTGCGCCCTTGGGTTCAGCAACACTCAGAGGTCACACTCCGCCACATCGCAGGCCTTTTGAAAAAATTTTAGTGTGAAACAGATTCTCACTAAGCCACTTAGCTGCCCAGGCTGTGCTCAAACTTGTGATCCTCCTGCCTCAGCCTCCCAGCCTCCTAAGTGTGAGCCACTAGGCCTAGAATCACCGGTGTAATCTCATCTCTCTCTCTTTCCCGGTAATCCGCTCTCCTGCAGGCTCCTTTAGTCCCCACCTGTTCACCTTGTTTTGTTTTGTTTTGTTTTGTCTTTTTTTTGAGACACAGTCTCACTCTGCAGTCCAGGCTGGCCTTGAGCTCACTTTGTAGCCCAGGATGGTCTCGAACTCCCAAGGATCCTCCTGCCTCAGCCTCCCAAGTGCTGGGATTACAGGTGTGCGCCACCACACCCGGCTCATCTGTTCACCCGGAACTTTATCTCATTCACTCCAGAAAGTTGATTTCTTTTTCTAACCTTGAAAAGTACAGTTTCAGAAGCCATAAATTTAGGACACTTTTTAAAAATCAGTTTCTTCTTAGGAAAAAAAAATCAGTTTCTTCCTGTGTATGGCCCTGGGGTTTTTTTGTTTTTGTTTTGTTTTGTTTTTTCCCGTACCAGGAATCAAACACACGACCTTGTGCTTGCCAGGCAGGCGCTGTGCCGCTGAGCTAAATCCCCAACCTGGCCCTGGGTTTGATCCTCAACAACACAAAAAAACAAACTGCTCCATGGTAAAGTTTGTCAACTTTTAAAAATAATCTTCAAGATGGGCATGGTGGCACACGCTTGTAATCCTAGCACTCAGGAGGCTGAGGCAGGAAGATCCATTGCAAGTTCAAGACCAGTCTGGGCTACAAACTGAGCTCAAGGCCAGCCTGGACTGCATAGTGAGACCCTGTCTCGAAAAGACCAAAAAAATAACATAAAATAAAAAAATAAAATAAAATAAAAACAATCTTCACCATAAAGCACAAACGCTTCTCCAGTTTCTGGCTGCATCTTGCCCACAGTTGACTTCTCACTCCATCTTCACCTGGCAGACCACTCTGTACCCATTTCCCGGACAGGCAAACTGAGCCTCGGACAAGTGAGGCAGCCTACACACATCCATCTGATTCTATAGCGGTAGGGGCGGATCCAAACCCAGGCAGGCCGACCAGAGTTTAAACACTGAGGAAGGAACCAGTGAGTCTTCTTTCAGAGGAAACAGACAAACAGTATCAAAAAGACATCATGGAGCAAGCACAAGGTCACGAGTTCGATTCCCAGTACCAAAAAAAAATTAAAAAAAAAAGGACATCACAGGTTTAGCTTTATTTGGAGGGAGGGAAGAGATGGAAGCCAATCACCACGCCCTCTAACACCTTCAGCCACTTGGTTCTTCTCAACTAAATGAGTCCTTGGACTCCTCATGACCGTGAGGTGCGCACTACCATGCCCTGCAGGCAGACCCCACGTGCCGCTATTGAACAGCTGTGTGTTGTCTGGAAGCTTACTTAACCTCTCTGGGCTATTTTTGTGGGTAATAAACGTCAGCTCAGAGCCCAGCACTCAGGAGTGTAAGAACACACTTGGGAATTTATTCCAGTTTCCAGTCTGCAAGTTCTGTTTAGCGCGATCAAGCTCCATTACAATCACCCTCAGCTCCCTATTTTTTTAAAGGCAGCATGAGTTACTACTATTACGAAATGACTCACAGAAGGTGCCAGGTCCTACCCCAAGCTCTGTGGTAACCGATAAATATACAAAATGATGAACCAGCCGGGCGTGGTGGTGCACGCCTGCAATCCCAGCATTTGGGAGGCTGAGGCAGGAGGATCCTTGGGAGTTCGAGACCAGCCTGGGCTACAAAGTGAGCTCAAGGCCAGTCTGAACTGCATAGCAAGACCCTGTCTCAAAAAGACAAAAAAAACCCAAAAAAACAAAATGATGAACCAGCTGTTTTTTTTTTTTTTTTTTTTTAAGAAAAAGGGAAGAAAATAGGGCTGGGGATATAAATCAGTGGCACAGTGCCTGCCTGGCAAGCATGAGGTCATGAGTTCAATTCCCGGTACCAAAAAGAAAAGAAAAAAGGAAAAGAAAGAAGAGTGGTAGAGCGGGAAGTGGAGGCGGGAAGGAGGGAGGAAAAGCCTGCGTGCTGCAGGGTTTTTCCACAGAAAGAAAAACAAAATCTCGCCGACCGGTGTAAAGGTTAAAAACTCCAGAGGCAGCAGCACGGAATGACAAGCGCAATTTCAGTTCTGTATGACGCTGCCGGGGGCTTCAAACAGCTTCTTCTTTCTCAGTCAAATAAGTGTAAGGACACCACACACCTCGGCACAGGGAGCTGTAAAACTACTTTATTAGGGAAGACTCACTTGGAAATACAGTATTTCTTTTAGCATTTAAAGATGCCACAGGTTTTTTTTTTTAGTACAAAAAAAGAAAAAAGAAAACTTTCAGTTCTCTTTTAACAGTTCTTTTTTTTTTAATGATGATGCTTGCCTAGCACATGTGAGGACAGAGTTCATTTCCCAGTGCCGCAAAAACAGAGAGAGGGAGGGAGGGAAGGAAGGAAGAAAGGAAGGAGTGAGGGAGAGAGACTTATAGATTACATGATCTCCTTCCTCATATAATGCAACAACATAATTAAAACTTTAAGCCGGTCAGGGTAGTACAGGCCTGAGAGCCCAGCACTTGGGAGGCTGAGGCAGGAGGATCTCTGTGAGTTCGAGGTCACCCTGGGCTACATAGTGAGTTCAGAGCCACCCTGCTTTACATAGCAAGACCCTGTCTCAAAAAAAACTTTAGTACTTGAAATACTTTCCCTATAAATAAATACTTTCCATAGGCTTTATTTTCTCCATAAATAAATTCACTCTGTGTGTCTTGTGCTCTACCATTAAACCACACCCCAGGCTTTCTCGTTTTATTTTATTTTATTTTATTTTTTCTCATTTTATTTTGAGTGTCACCCAACAGTGTGATCACTAAGGGTGACCAGGGTATCACTAGATTGTCCAGGCTAGCCTCGAATTTGTAATCCTCCTGCCTCAGCCTCCCTAGGAGCTTAATTTCTCACATCAGTATGTTCTGCAGCTTCGGAGTTATCACTCAGAATTCTCAGGCAGGCACTGAGACAGGCAGACATTCAAGTGTTTGAATGTGCTTCATGTGTGATGGTGGATTCATTGTGTCAACTTGAGAAGTTTAACTGAGTGACTCAGCAGAGGGCCGGGGTCCTCACTTTGTAAACATCCTTAGCCTGGGCAAGAGGAGGGCAGGGAGAGGGTGTGAGTGCTGCGCCTGCCCTGGGAGGTGGTAGGCGGCTTATAATGTAAGGGAGGGAAAGAGGCTTGCTTTTGCTCTTGCTGCTTTTGCTGTCTTCTGCCACCTTGAAGTGTTGCCCCTCTGCCACATGCCACCCTGCCTTGGAGCCGGATGAAACCTCCATAAACTGTGAGCTAAATAAACCTTTCCTTCCTTAATTTTGGGCCTCGGGTATTTTGTCTCAGCAAGGAGGCAAAAGTAACCAAGACACTGTTTACAGTGCTGGAATAGCCGCCTTCACCTTACAGCGGCCCCCCACTGAGCTCCCGCCCCAGCCTGACCTTCAGAAAGGTTTACCCCCAGCGTGAGCCCTAAATGGCAGGTGCATACACGCATTTTCTAAATAGTTTTTCCCTGGACCTCTCAGTAAGCAGATGAACTTTATTGCCCTGAAATATAAAGGTGCTCTGACGATTCATCCTTACACCATCAGTTTTGTTTTGTTTTGTTTTGTTATTTAATCTTTTTTTGAGACACGGTCTCGCTATGCAGTTCAGGCTGGTCTTGAGCTCATTTTGTAGCCCAGGCTAGTCTCCAACTTGCAACGATCCTCCTGCCTCAGCCTCCCGAGTGCTGGGATTACAGGC